ACAGAATTAGTTTGCCGTCTCCAAAATTAGTTTGCCACCTCCAATTAGTTTGCCATCCACAGGAGTACTTTGCCGTCTCCAAATTAGTTTGCCGTCTACCGAATTAATTTGCCGTCTACCGTCTTCATGAGTCTTCAGAACATTAAGTTTGCCGGGATCTATAGAATCAGTTCGCCGTCCACAGAATTATTTTGCCGGAACAAATTTATGTTTGACTTCTAAAGAATTTATATTTGCCGTCACAAAGTTAAACTTGACGTCTATAGAATTAGTTTGCCGTTGACGAATTAGTTTGCGGTACAGAAAAACAATATTTGTCATCATAAAATAAAAGTTTCCTATCCCCCGAATTACATTTGCCATCAAAAAATTAAGTTTGCCGTCAACGTTGTATGTTTGCCAGCGTAAAAAATGGTTTGCCACGTTAAGATTAAGTTTGCCATGCTGTCATTTAGTTTGTCACCAACGGATTAAGTTTAATTGCCATCACGTCTCAAATGTACGCCACGTTTTTTAACTTGCCGGTGGCCCTTCTGGGCTTCCGTAGTTTCCCCATGACACAGAATTAGGAATCTTGGAAAATTTACATGTAGGCTCTGAAATAAAGCCCTTGAAGTCCAATAAAGTGGTGGAATCCGGAATCCAATATGATGGAACCTCGAATCCTTGCTAAAATGTATCATAAAATCCGGAAGGCAGGAGTTCTGGACCTTTTCGTAATGTCACGACAGAAAAGATTGAAACATAAAAATGAGCAAGTAACGAAAATTGAATCGACGTAACAGTCTCCACGGAATGCCGGAAATGATTGCGTGATTTCTGTTTTACATTAAGTGAATTGCGTGACATGAAATCCCATGATCCCTAATAATGTCAAGGCCAGGCTGCAAACTTAATAAATAACATTACAAAAGATTGCAAAAAGAAACGAGGGATTTCAACGTTTTATCATCTTTTTGGGTGTAAACGTGAATTCGTACATCTTTTCTTACATCTAAATCCGTGAAGTAGAGTATTTCTAAGGTAGCGTTCTTAATTCGAGGACAACGGGGATCGATCTCAGATCAAGAGCGAAAGCGCTCGTCCTGGGATGATTCAGTTTCAAAATTGAACTTGAAGAGATGTAACCTTAATATCCGTTACCGAATAACTTTATTCTGTGAGAATAGACTCATAACAATGTGCGAAACAAACCAATTCACTGCTAACAGTGGCGAACAAASACGAGMCACGMAGGAAGACGAATTTTACAACGAGGAACAAAATGGCTTGGTGAAGTTTGACATTGGTGAATTTGTGCACAATCACAGAAAGGTCCAGCTTCTTCTAGGGCCRTGGATCAGGCTTTTGGACACCCTGTTGAACATCATACGGTAACACTTTTACAACCTTTTGTTCATTTACATGATCATAATTTATTATTAATACAGTTATATAACATTGTAAAATGCAACGAATGATGTTGACAAACTTGTAGACCAATTTTTCTTGTCAAGTTTTCTTAGCTGGTTTATGTGCTGTTTATATATGTACAAAAGTTGCTGCATTTCCTTCCCTACCTCCAATTTCACCTCCAATTACTATTCACTTGGTATTAAGAAAAGGGGGCATATATCCAGGGGTGTGGACAGGGGGGTTGCAGGGGTTCAAGAAACCCCCTTCTATTGCAGAGCAGACAAATCTTTGAAATATGAGTCTTCATCTACCAAATCATAAGAATAACACATTTTTTCAATCCAAAACAATACTTGTACAGTTTTGCAGCTGATCATGTTTACAGTGTTGAAACCACAACAAAAGTATTAGTAATCATATTACTAGAAGACTTCTAAATACCTGGCTACAATCTCCGGCAAAAAAAAATGAGACACCCACAATTGTTAGGTCCTATACCCCTTCCCCCTCGGCAATGTTGATTGCGGACAACAAAAAGACGCGATTTCCTAGCAAAACCCGAAGACATCATTCTAACAACATTGAACTAGGGGAAGGGATCTCAAGTGACCCGTTTATATTGCAGAAGATTGTAGCTTTCAAGATGGCACTGAAAACTGGAGTATTATCCTTGTAGCCAGCTGTATTTTGAAATTGTTGCTTGACACCAGATGCATTTAAATTGAGAGAATTGAATATTCTCATCAATGACATTGACTTTCTGATGTTTAAATAGATGGCAGTCTCCATATGTGTCTTTGTTCTGGATGGTATTATTTTGTTTCATTGCTGTTTTTTCTCCAAGTGAGTAGTAGAGACTCTTTTACATGTCAATCTCATTGTTTGAGCATTATATCTGTATAGTGAAAAAGGCAGTGAAAATGTACTCTTGACTGACCAGTACAAAGAATGTCTGTTTTGACATAATCATAATGTCCTTACAATAATCAAGTGCTCTTTGAAAAACAATGAACTTCTCCCATCATCAATATTTTTTTCAGTTTGGTTTATAGTAATACCATTCTTCTATGTCATAAGCATCATGTGCTTGTCTGGTATCAAGAAACAAGGCAAGCAAAAGAGTAAAACTATACAAAGAACCATTAAAAAGAAAGCTGATAACAATGACTTGGTAATTATTGTGTGTCAGAATTAACCTTCAGAGAGCAGACACTGAAAGCTTGAAAAAGGAAAGAGTCAAATAGTGGAAACTTGTGCACAATAGTTAACAAAGGAATTCCATTTGTAGTGCCATGTTTTTCGTATAGTTTAAAACACGAGAGAGAGTGTTTTAAACGGCTTAAAAAACTCCAACACTAATTTGAAACTCAAATCCGTTAAAATTCTTGGAGAAATTGCCGTACAAAATCAAATATGTTCAGAGATAAATGGGGCAAACTGATCATGCGCGAATCACTTTACAAAGCACTCTTGTCATCCCACATTGAATACGCATAAAKTAAAATAGAAGCGCTTTTGGCTAGTAGCTCATTAATTATGTATGAGTATTTTAATGATTAATAAATATTTTGAATGTAACATTGTATTTTTTTAAAGATCTTTAAAGCAACTGTTGAGAAGCAGGTCAAGGAAGATGTTAAAGACTTCATCACACTGTAAGCTTCTGAATATAATGATGTTGCAGTCTTAAAACACTTAGAACTGAGGGTGTAATTGTAATACAAAATACTTAATTTGTGCTTTTAGGAATATTATAAAAACTTTTTAGTGTTTATAGCCCATATGTCATTATATTTTTGACAGAACAGATAAGAATTGAATTGAATTTTATTTTAAACTAAATATTTGTTTCTCAATCATAGATTAGTTCAGCTAGAAGCACTAACTGAACTGCTCACAAAGGGACTAGAGGATATTAACAGGTGATTTTAGTTTATTAATAGTTTATTTTTATTATTTTTATTATTATTTGAATTTATTGAATTTCTTGTCTACCATTTAATTTTGCTCTATATACTATTCAATAACCTTTGCTTGACCTTCTAATTTTAAACATATTAGAATTATAAAATGGGAAGATTTCAAGACTTCAATAAGGTTAGATTTTATTTATAATACCACCCCCCACCCCCACCCCCACCAAAAAATCATCTTCCCACCCCTCCCATGACAAAATCAATTGCTTTTGATTCATGTATATTAATTATCAAACATTTATTTTTCTGTACTGTCTAGTGTTTTCCTTGGCATGCTGTTTGCAATCATATTACTACTTCTAGTGCCTTTATCAGCAAACCTTGTGTTTGTTATTGTGAGTGTGTTTTGCCTCAATGTYGGCTTCAAACCAGGTGAAAGCAAAGATTCTTAATATGGTGGGAACTAGCGGTAAACTAGTGTGAGCTGAATCGGTGTTTCTAAAGAAACAGTTGTGTGTAAAAAGTTACCGTATTTACTCATGTATTAGCCGCACTTTTTTCAAAAAAAAAAATTGTTCCAACATCATGGGTGCGGCTTATCTACAAGAAGACTTGTAAAAATGCCTGAAAAAAGCTAATTTGCGGACGTTAATCCTTTGTCGGAGTTGCTCTTTAGTAAGTTATTTCACCTACTTTTTTTACGGTGTGAAATTTTTATCTTTTTACACAGTCAACAGTTGCAAAGATTCTTACACTTATTTGTATGAACCACTTAGAGAGCTGTTTATTGTGCTGTAAGGTGTTCTCTAATTTTTTGTTGTATACATGTAGTTGCTGTTCAAGTTTTCTCTGCATTCAAGAAGGAAATCAAGAGTGCTTTGTCATTGCTTGGTCTCGGGGAATTATTATTCTCAGCCAAGACTGACAGGCAAATGTCTGCTAGCAGTATGGAAGAGGATAAATGGGTAATGATATTGTTGGATTTAAAATCTTTAGGAAATGCARTCTTTGTGAGAGAGAAGGATCTGTTGTATGCCTTCCATATATGGATGTACATTTACTGCAGGGTCATTGGTGTGAGAAGTGCTTTTCAAAGACTTACATTAAACCCAAACTGAAAATAATTTTTTACCAAAGGTTCGAACCCAATACTAAGAATTGCCTTAAACCCTATATATKCCCTTTAACCTAACTGTTAAGCTTTGACTTCACTTTGATTGGATGATTCTGAATTTTTGTGGCATATATTTAATGGTATTCATGAATAAMCACATGTTTTTACTAAAGATTATATTTTACATAATTAATGAAACTTCAATGTGCACATGAGAGGCCTTCTGTACTACRTTCATTAGTGAACAATTTGTATAGTACATCCATATATAGAAGTTGTACATCAGATCCTACTCATATGAGAGAGAAGTAATCTCACAATTTCCTTCTTCCATAGTATGATGCTGAAGTGAATGGGATGCCCGAGCAAAGCAGTGATGAATATGACAGTGATAGTTATTCTCAGGAGGTATATTTACATTTGATAT